GGAGCTCCGCAGTTGTCCTCACACAATGTCCGGCCCCGCCATTCTGGGCTCGGGCCAAGATGCCTCTCAGTGCTGTATGGCAAGTAAGTAAGGAGCCCTGGGGCCTCTTAGCTGAGCTCCTGGCGGCCCAGCTGCACATGAGGTTTCTCATCTTGCGTGCTTATTCTTTTAATTAGACACTTAGAGAATTAGCTCTCAGAGGGACACCTTCACCTTCTCAAAAAGCCCCAGTTCCCCCCCACCCATGCTATGAGAGGTGGCGGTCCGCATGTGAGCCCCAAGCTCATATACATAATCTCACCACATACCTCCACCCCCATCTCAATAGCGCTCCCCTCCTTCACCCTACAGATACTCAAAAGAAGCCCACACCTCCCATTTCCAGAAGCCTGTGGGCACAGTGAGAAAATGAAGACCTCTGCGCCCCTCCAAATCCCCAGGAATTTCTCATTAAGAGCAGGTCCTGGGCTCCTGAGGACCCCCGGGTTCCCCCCGCACCTCTCATTCCCTGAAGAAGTCGACCCTCTCGCCCGACTAGAATGGACTACTCCAGTTTACTTTGTGTCGGGCGGCTGTTTCCCTGTGCGTGTTATTCATCTTGCTCCCATTCTCCGGGCACAAGAGGCTTTCCCCGCGAATGGTGCTTTGAAAGTCCTCAAGACTTCCTCTTCTTTTCACCACATTTTTTATGTGTGTGCATGTGCGCAAGTCAGTGTCCATAATGAAAGACCCGGGCTCTGGATAGCACAGAATAGGGGTAATTGAAATTACATTTTGTTAATGGTCTCCCATGACAGGAAGCGGGAGTTGGTTCATCAAGATGGTTGTGTGGTTTTGTGCCTTGTTTGGCATTCAGCTACAGGCCCGTTTTTTTTTTTTGATGGACGAGTGCTAGAGTGATGAGAACAGAAGGGTACTCTAGTGTGAGCGGGACGCAGTCAAGAACAGTTATGATTTTATTTCTCTGTGGCTTACAATCGTATCAACCCTATGCTAAGTGTGGAATAAGTATGTTATCAGTACGGTATTAAAAATATGGTTTAACACGAACCACCAAAAAATGTTGTTACCAAAAATGAGGTTTTGCTATACCTAAAACATTTCTGATCAATCCTTGGCAATTGTTGCCATCTGGCCAGATTTGGCTTATTTCTAATTTAAGTCTATAGAGGATATCTGCATTTAAATGGTTTCAAATTCAATATTATGGCACTTATAGTGATAGAGAGCACACAGGTGGTGTTTCTTCCTTTCCAGCTCTTTAAATAAATCATAAATTATTAAAGAAAACAAAACTTTATATCAGACATCATTCTCAAATAACCAGTAAATGAACTTTCTCAAATAATCAGTAAGAACACCTACATTTCTCCAAGGTTACAAGCGTGATTCCCATCATTGTATGTCAATAATAACAAATAATTTACATCAACACATTAAATGCATGATAGAAACGTTACGCTAATCTTATCAGTTACATTTGCCTTCTAACGAGGCATTACTTTTTTAACACCTGATTCTGATTAATAGTCTCTACAGTGTTTAATCACGTTATGGCATAATTTACTTTATTTTTTAAGGAGAATTATAGATAAAAATGCAAAGTTACAATTCATTGCACAATTTTTTTCCCACAAACCAGTCAAGCACAAACCCCACTCCGCAGCTGATTCTAAAGATTTCATTGGTCATGTCAATGCTGAAGGCTACACAACACAAAAATAAATAATAATCCCCAACCCCTAACCTTAACCTTATCATAACATTGGTAGAAAATCCTTATAGATAGCATTACTGCTTATCTTGCTCTGATCCATCCATTATATTTCTACACTCTGAACTGAATCTTTAAAAGTCTGAACCTTTTTAGACAGGTAACTGTGTAATGGAGTTGACCAATGAAATTGGTTTTGGGGTGGGGTTTATGCTGTTTTAGGGGGGAAAACACACTCATTTATTCTAGCCCGTGTCCAAATAATACCTCATTGACATGCACGAGCAAATGTAAATCCATATCAAGTGCGCCATTTGGAACAGGGGACAGGGCAGTGGGTTTCTGAAATTCTTTTGCTGGATTGTGCTGCCCCCTGTCAGTAGCATTTGTTACTACATTGATAGTTTGTGGCGATTTTAAATAGGCCCTCAATTAAAGCTTAAAACACTTACACATAACAAATTATCCCTTTGTCTAATAGTTATATTTTCTTAAAATTAAACTAACGATAAACTGATTTCTTATTAATATCAGTTCTTGGATTAACGTTTTAGTGTATTTATCAGAGGGAAATTATTTAACTGCATTTTGTCAAAGTGAAATATTTCAGGTTCTGTTTTATTTTGTTCATACACCAAATGAGTCAAAAAAATCAACAAAAGTCTTGTCATCTAATCACCAGAGGACAAAAGCTCTACTGAACGATTATTGAAGGGTAATAGGTCAAGACAAAAATTACTCACCACTAGGGCGCGTAAGAAAGATACAGTCTATGGTTTTAGGCTTAACAAATAGTAAAAGTGTGGAAGTAATTTATCGGAAAATAACAATATTCTATATCTGATATTTGTTACCTATTAATTTAAATAAATAAATAATAGGGCGCAATGGGTCTGTAGGCCCCAGCGTTAAAAGGCCCTGTTGATGTAACTTTCTCTTACATGACAACAAAAATCAATAGGCCTACTTAACTAGCTAAATATAAGGTGTCCTGCTGGTATGCAGTATGTTCCAGTCACAACAGAGATTAGTGAAAAAATTGCAAGTATATGATGTATATACCTATTGTTCATTTTTATTGCAGAATAATATATATATTTTACAATATAGTTATTATGAAATCCCAAAAATTACTAAAAAAGGAAAAAGAACAGCATATCTTTTACCGAAACTGTGTCCCAAAGTTCCTCAACATTTATTGTTTACACAAATTGTGTTACTTCATCAATATTTAATTGATGAATTATTTTTTGGACCAAATAATTAAGAATTAATACAATTTGAATGATTTTCAATATTGGTCAAATTTCAACACTATCAGAAATACTCTCAGTAATGCAACACATTGCCCCGTACCTGTCCACAGGTGACTGATCCACTAGAAAGTACATGGAAAACATCACCAACCAGCAGACAGACACTTGGCTTTAACCCTCGACCTTCCTGTCTCCTCTGTCTATGGGTTAAAGTTTAAGAGTCAAAGCTTACTCACTTATCATCCCTAGAGAAGCCTTAGAAGTCTGACCTTTGAGAATCAGGACCTGCCTCTGCCTGACAGGGACCCACAAGGCTTATGGGACAGTGTGCACACAAGGAACTCAGGGGGCGTGGTAGCCAGACTAAGTTGTTGACACATCCGTCTCAAAATGGATGCAGCTTTGACTGACAGCTGCACGTCCCCACCCAGCCCTGATTTTAGTCTGGACTCATCCAGTCCGTTTGCAAATGGACTGCACTTTGAGTCAATACTGTTTGAAGATGAGGACGAGGATGAAGCTATGGATCCAGAGATGGAGTCTCAACTAGAAGGAGCATCATGTGGCTCAACGAAAGAACATACAACAAATGCAAATTTGAAGACAAAATTGGGTGTCAAGTCTAGAAACAAAATTTCAAATGCTCGAACATCTCTGGGGCAAAAAGCTGTATTTAAAGACAAGTCTACAAGTGATTGTGGGCTTTCTTCTCTTGTGAGCAGGTCTGCTGGGATTATAATGGCAAGTTCTGGTTCTATCCCACCATCCCCAACATCAAACCACTACCAATATTTTAGACATCTCCTCATACTACAATCAACTGTGGCACTAGCTCTTAAAAATGAGAACATGTAAAATCTTAAAAACGGATACCATTTTCATTGTATTAGCTTAGAGAGCAGTACATTTTTACAATTTCGAAACTCTTCTTATGCTTTGGGAGAGTATATATTTTGCATCAAATGCCATTAAGCAAATAATTGTGTGGTTTTATTTTTGTATTTTCAGTCTGACCATACATGTGCATTCTTGCATAGGCAGGTCTTTGACCAGAGAGAGAGAAAAATTAAGTATTTACTAATATAATAACTTTGAGATATATTCTCATAAAATGCATATGCTAAAATTCTGAATGAATCATGAAATATACATATATATAAAAAAAAAAAAGTTTTTGTAGGTGATACTGAAAATATTCAGCTGTAAATTCAACTAATTTATATATGATGTCTACCAGCAGACAAAAAAATTAAAAACAAAGGCTCTACCACCAGTGAAATATTTGGAGGGTGAAGTAATATGGGCTAAATTCAACCGTAGACCATGGTGGCCATGTCAGGTGACTGTTCACCCAGTTGAGGGAGTTTACCACAGAATTAAAGGTAAGTACAGTAACACAGAAGACATAAAACCACAGAACACCCATTCCTAACGTTATGAACCATATTCTCAACTTTTTCAATGGCTTTTGCCCCCACATAATCTATCCAGAAAAATCTAATTATCCTTCCTTACATTTCTTTGTGCGATTATGTTTCAGAGCCACCAAATAGGACCAATCGTCAGTATTTCCTCAAGACATTTGGGGAACCTGAAGAACAGGCATGGGTCCCTGAGCAATCTACTCATATATTTGTGGGTGGATATCAGTTTAACAATCTCCCTTTTGTGAGAGGAAGTGGACGCCAACAAGATGAAAACACCAGACACTCTGTAATTTCTGAAACATCCTTTCAGTTAAATGGATATTATGACACCTTTTTAAAACCCTTGTGAAATTGTTACTCTTGGGTTACTTTGCAGATACCCAAGCGTTTTCTGAACTCTTGGAGAGCTAGTGTGGTTGAAGCAGAAGCACTTCTCCTGGAGAAGCCAAGGGTCACCACTCCCTGCTCAGACTTCACCAAAACAATCTCTGAAGGAACTTCAAATAACACAGAAAACAAATTGTCCGTGCCAGTGAAATTACCCAACTTTAGTCCTCTGACCAATGGAACAGTTACACAAAAAGACCATCAAAACAATAACTGCAGTGGCCCAGTGGAGAAAACATCTGGCGAAAGTATGCAGAAACCTCAGGTGACAGAACAAGGTGTGTCAAGGCCCCTGCCAGAACTACAGACTCCTCCAGAAGACCTGTCTCGGAGCACTCCTTCAATAAATCCCACGCCATGTCAAGAGAGACAGGTGTTGTCTGTAGACACTCTTACTCCACCTCCAGAAACAATCCCATCACCATGTGCTGAAATTTGTCATAAGGAGGAGCTTCAAAAACAAAATGCTATAGCCACTGGTGAGTAGCACTTTCTGAAAGTTTACATAATTATGAATGTTTGGAAAATAGTTTGATATTTCTCAAACATTTCTGCCACATTATTTTTGCATTGGCCATATGTAGACCAATTGCAAGCCAGAGCCACTTTTTATTGCTTTTTATTTCGTTTTTAGGGCTAACCATATTCAGTACTTGTTATCAGAACACAAATAACAGTCAAAATAAATTATTTTTTTCATCATCTAAATAGGTGATGGTGTGTGTCTAAGCACAAAGAGACAACGGAAACCCACCAAAAAGATTCTGGAAAGCTCCATAGAAGCTGAACCAATACTTGTGCCAAAAAGAAAGGTACTTGTTTAAACTATAACTATTTTAGAAAGTTTACTTTGATAGATAACTCCATAAAGAATATTTGTTATAAAAAAAAATCTTGCAATTGTAGTCTAGTTTTTTGTTTTGTTTTAGCCAACTATTAACTACTACTTTTGCCTCAATAAACTCCTACCTGCTTGCTTATTAATAGTTAGTAAGGTAGTTGTTAAGTTAAGGTATGGGGTAGGATTAAGGGATCTTAAATATGGTAATGCAGAATAAGGCATTATTATGTGCTTTATAAGTATTAGTGAACAGCCTATATGCTAGTAATATGCATGCTAATAAGCAACCCAAAGAGAAAGGAAAAATTGAAATCGCATCATATGACCCCTTTAATAGTGAGAATTGGTCCCTAAACTAAAGAGTTTCATCTTAGTCTAATGAATGGAAAATTGGACTTAATAGCATTATCATTCACAGGTGAAGTCACAGAAGATTTGCTCATCTGCACAATCTGCAAATTCAGGTATGATCATTTAAAAGCTTTCGAAACGGTTTGTTATTTTAATTCTGTTTAATTTTAATATTTAAATTATTGTTATTAAAATCATAAAGTTAACATGATTATTTTGGGGCATAGCTGACAACCAGAGACAATTCCAGGACCCTGTTTCTTGAAAGTTATTCATGGAGACCATTGCCACCAAATTATGTGTTAAATGACACTGATAAACTTAATAGCAGGTTAATTCAGGTTAAGATCAGTTGAGTAGTAGAAGTTATATTAGAAGAGACTTTTATAATGCCTGTGATCAGTGAATTATATTCAGTTATGTCAAATCATGAGTTTTTCTTCCATTGATGTTGGAAATGTGAAGAAGCCTGAATATCAAATAATCTTTTGGAAACAAGATGTCCCAAATCTAAAGCAGGGATATTTTAGACAGGCTGCCACTGAACATTTGTGTAAACAGTAATTTAATATTTCAGCAATTTTATTTGGTACCTTGATTGTCTTTTGAATTAATGTGTGTTGTAAATGAAGGGATGGGACAGCAATCATCAAAAAGTAAGAACAAACTGTCTTTTGAGTCAGTCGACACACCAACTGCCCCAATCCTAAAATGCACAGAGATGGAGATAGAAGTTTCTCCTCATGCAGTTAACCCAGAATCAGCCGAGGATGGTTCAGATGATCTCAAATGCTCAGAGCCAGAGGTCAGTAAAATGAACTAGTCTTATACTTCTGTTGTTTCTTAGTGGCCACTTTATTAGGAATACATAAACAGCGACTTCATAATGCAAATTTGTAATCAGCCAATCATACAGCAGCAAGAGCACACAGGCATGCTCAACAGGTGGATACCATAACAACATCATCTTTGGCCAGAAATATTAGAAAGGTGTGCATTATAAACTGGCCACTGTGACTGCCGTAGCTTCTCACATAATCTGTTTACATGTCAGTCATGTGCAGCATTATTTGTCTAATTAAAAAAAGTGTTTGATTAAAAAATAAATCTAATTTCTAAGAACATAGATTGAAATGCAGTATTCAGTGCCACAATACAAATAATAATAATTATAAAAAAAATTAAATCAGCCTTCCTAAATGCTCTCTTCTTTAACTAACCTGAATATGTGGCATTCATGTTGTATTTCATTCAGATGGTTGAATCTAGTTATGGGTTGTGTTCTGAAAGAGAAGAAAATTCACAATCCGATGAAGGAGTCTCTGATAAAAGGCTCTCAGTGGAGAAAGGAGGCAGCACTTTACTCAAGGAGAATGTGTGTCAGGTAAGTCTGTTAATGAGAACTATAGTTGTGTCCAGACCAAGAGACAATAACAGTTATGTCATCTGCCACTTTAAATGCTTAAAGGGATCCTATTATGCTCCTCTGATTTTGATTTTGTTTTAGGGGTGTACTAGAACACGCTCTCATGCTTGGTGGTTCGAAAAATGCATTATTTTTCATATAATTTACATTATTAAAATACCTTTCTCCCCAGCCTGGCACAAACGGCTCGATTAGCTCCGACTTTGATGAAGGTCCGCCTTCCGAAAAACAAAATGTGTTGTGATTGGTTAGCTGTCCCTGTGCGTTGTGATTGGCGAACAGCTTAGACGGTGTTTCAGTACTGCCACGCCCCTTGCTCCGTCTTTCAACAAAAGCTTTTGGCGAATCCGGCACTGTACTCCCTCATGTTGTGGAAGCTGTCCTCAGTAAAATGTGCAGCACACAATAGCAAATTGGGGTTATAATGCTCAGGAACAGAGTTAAAAAATAAATTGCAACCACTGTTTCCTGACATCATCCGCTTTCGGAAGCCCAAACAAAGACGTTTGGGCATGGAGGTGAAAAAAAAACAGCGTTTCAGGCAGTCGCACACCCGGTAGAGAAGCGCAGCGTCTATTTTCTATGAGTGTAGGCCAAGTGGCAACCTCGCGCTCTCTCTCGTGAAGCCAACAAGGAAGTGACTTAAACTGTAATTCATAAACTGGCTGGCTGCAAAAGGGAGTCAATCCCATAGACTCCCCATGTTAAAATGCCAAACTTTACAGCAGAAAAAAACATGTTTACTGCCTGGTTCAAAAAATTATTTTGGTCCATATAGCTAATTTTGCCGTTCATGACAACTGTGAAGGGGTGAATTTTTTTATAACTCATCCGTTTAAATTATATTAAGCCTTAAAGTTCTGCATAATTAAGGGAGTGGCCACTTGAGTGACAGGTGGATTGCCACCGTCGAGCTAGGTGGGCGTGGTTTCAGCAGCCAGCTCCCGCCTCTTTGCCCATTTTCAATTATTCGGGAGTGACGCGCTGCCAAGATGGCGACGGCTGCCTCCGCCTACTTTAGGCTTCAAAACGCTCGTCGGAAGTCTACGGGTGACGTCACGGACACTACGTCCATGTTTTTATACAGTCTATGGTTCTAACCACAACCTCACCCCTCCCCACCCCCCAACCATTCGAATTTCTGTAGGCGGGAATTATTTGTAATGATATTCCAATGAGCCGCTTTGTGATATCACAAAGCCCGGAAAACAAACGCTGTAGTCCAAACGAGCCGTTCGTTTTAGTTCTTGAAAAGGGATTTTTAAAAAACTAAATATCTCCCTTTGGAGTGGACTTTGAGATTTGTAACTTTCTAGATCTTTTTTATGCCCAAACATGCACACTACACACTGACTAAAATTAAAAAAGTGAAAAAGCATAATAGGACCCCTTTAAGCTCATTAACATCTCATTAAAAATGTCAATGTTTTTTTTTTTTTTCATCAGCTTAAAAAAATCACTCTGAAAATAAAAAAAGTCTTTATTGTTATGTGTACTTTGCAATTATCATTATGACTATTTATCATTTAACTTGTATTGTCTAACTTTTATTTATTTTATTGACATAGCAACCATACTAGCAATCATACTACAGTTAGCATAGAATTAAAACGGTTATTATAAGTTCATAGTTATCGTAATAGCTACTGTCCCATACCGAACTGGCGTTTATTTTAGCTAACAATTATTGTTAGTAGTAAAACAAAGGAAGATAAAAGAAAAATTACTTAATTATCATAATATTGACAATAACCTGTATTTTTATTCCATGTGGAGCAGTTTCCATAGGCTTAAAGCTGCGATGAAACAAAAAGTACCAAGAGATCTTTGTATTATGATGTACATTCATGTGAAATGGATTATCAAAGAAAGTAAAAAATGTAGGTTGGGGACTTAAATGGAGGCAGATCTGAATGCAAGCTTCTAGACGATTGTAAGAAAGAGCCGGGATTTATGTGGACTAAATGATTGGAGAAGTCCAGCATCCATTAGCAGAGAGAGGTCTGAGAACAGAGACATTATCATTAAGAATTATTCGATTGAAATAATAAGAATAATACAAATTAAACATAGATGGATGAATGCATGGATAGATTATTCACAGTAAGATCTATAACATGCATTTAGAAAATAGGGGATATTTTAATTTCAAGCCAACTTTAACCATAGACAGCCACCAGTGTCAAATATCATTTTTCATTAGATAACTTTTAACAATATTTAAGACTAAAAGTGGGGGGAGTGATCTTAGGATGTTTTAGCAAATTGATTTATCCAATCATCTAAAATGTTACTTCACTAAATTCATCTGATAGCCACGGTATATTAGAACACACCTCAATGACCGTCTGTTTCTGAAGGCATGTGAGAAGCAGGGAGACCTCCTTCTCTGTGAAGGGCAGTGCTGTGGGGCGTTCCATCTACAATGCACTGGCCTGAACGAGCCTCCTACAGGGAGATTTTTATGTCATGAGTGTACGTCTGGTAAGAGCCTGCTTCATAATTCACACATCAACAATTTTAAAAAGTCTTGACATAATTGTAGTTTTACTGCTCTTTGACAGCTGGTTTTGTGAATGTTTTACTAGGTATACACTCCTGCTTTTCTTGTAAGAGCCTGGGTGAGGATGTCAGGCGCTGTATGCTTCCAGGATGTGGGAAGTTCTACCATGGGGAGTGTGCTGCCAGCCATGGACCCACAGTACCTCTGAACCGGGCTTTTCGTTGCCCTCTCCATGCTTGCCTGTCGTGTTTCATCACAAACCCTACCAATCCATCTGTATCTAAAGGTTTGTTGTGCTTAGAGCAGCTACATTCTACATCAGGTGATGCTACATGTGAGGGCTGGTAACCAACAACTGCATCTGAAAACAGCTGGTTGGTGGCAAAAAAACTTTTTGTGTGTAATATTAAGTCCATAAAATGTAGGCAAGTTGTTATTTTTAAATTTTTGCAGGTTTAAACATTAGAAAATACAAAATGACCGTGTACATTTATTTTAGAGCTGGCCAGGACATTTACCTAATCATCATGGCAGCAGTCTTTGGATGTTGCTTTTGTTGGGGCAGTGTTCATTTGCATTAACAGACTACACGACACTACAATCTGAACAGACTTCAGAAAACAAGGCATCATACACATGCAGACTTTGTAAATGGTCAGGGGCGGACTTACCCATTAGGCAAAGGTAGGTGACCGTCTTGGGCCCCCAAAAGCCAAGGGCCCCCTAAAATGCTTTTCATATAGGAGATGCGCATTAAATGCTGACACGCGAACGGTTGCTGATTACGGTGTTTATTACCATGACAACTGTCTGCAATTGAACATGCCTTTTGTGTATCCTGCTTGAAGGAGATGAAAATATTATGCATTTGAAACTGTAATTAAATATTGACAAACAGTGTGTATTAGGGCTGTCAAAATGGCTGAAAAACTAAATTCAAATGTTTTACTTAAATATTATCAAAATTCGAATTATATTCAAATTTAAAATGCATGATTTCAGTTAGGGTGAAGAAAAGCTTTTTGGCTTCTCTCCTGAGGCCACAAGAGGGCGCATCGAGCAAAATATTACTAATGCACGTTTATTCAAAGCATAAGATGATATGACTATCTGTGAAAAAAGTGCATCATCTTTAAAATATTGTTTATAAACCAATTATAATTAAGTTGCTTAAACAACTATCTGTCTGCAATTGAACATGCCTTTTGTGTATCCTGCTTGAAGGAGATGAAAATATTATGCATTTGAAACTGTAATTAAATATTGACAAACAGTGTGTATTAGGGCTGTCAAAATGGCTGAAAAACTAAATTCAAATGTTTTACTTAAATATTATCAAAATTCGAATTATATTCAAATTTAAAATGCATGATTTCAGTTAGGGTGAAGAAAAGCTTTTTGGCTTCTCTCCTGAGGCCACAAGAGGGCGCATCGAGCAAAATATTACTAATGCACGTTTATTCAAAGCATAAGATGATATGACTATCTGTGAAAAAAGTGCATCATCTTTAAAATATTGTTTATAAACCAATTATAATTAAGTTGCTTAAACAACTATAAACAAAACAGCATGTATGCATAATTTAATACATAGGGCCGAAAGCCAATCACACAGAGTACATATTTCATTTAAAAACACGAGTTGCAGTGGGATGGGGGAAAAAACTGACGTAAAGTCTCAAGATATGTTTTTTCAAAGTTGAACTTGCATTAATTTACATGGCTTTCTAAACATGCGGCTTCTTTTGTGCGAGACGCGAGTGCAGCGGTGATAGATGTCCCTCTAGAAAATGCGTGAAATATGCATTCTGTGTGAACGGCTTGGTTTCAGTTTTGACGTAAACAAGATCTTCTCCGCATTCCGTTCTCTTTTCCCACAATATTTGTAATTAACAACGCTAGTGTTAACAACACTACAATCTAGTGGCTTCAACTGGATAGGCTAACAAAAACATTAAAATGCAACGACACTTACATCGTCATCACATCTCGTGCGACACTGATAAGGCTAAAATGTTGATTTTTATTTTAAATTCGACAAATACTTCGAAATTCAAAAAAAAAATTTGACAGCCCTAGTGTGTATTATATGTTTATAATTGTTTTAAATGCCGCTTACTCATTTATGAGAAGGAACCAAGTATAGAGGACACATACGCAGTTATTTTTTGGTTGATATAATCCTTAGGTGTGTAAATGTATAATTGCCTTTTCATTTCATAGTTAAAATAACAAAAAATAAATGTATTTTAAAGTTTAGAATTAGACAGCCTTTGCACACAGGCTTACGCTGGTAACTCATCAGTGGACTCTCCTCGTCAATATAGGTTATATTTTTCCACACTTTTCTCATTCTATATTTCTGACGTTCCAAACGCGCCTCCTACTGGCAGAGAATGAATGTTCAATTTCAATAATCCAGTCTGTAGTTTCTGTTCAATGCGAAAATCCACCCACATAATCCCATTTTAAATTAATATAATAATTTATACTTCTGACTCACCCCTGGTTTAAATGCTCAAGTGTAAGGTTTATCATTTTATAATTTATTTTGTTTTTGTGAAAACCTGTATCTCAACTGTAAATCAGTTGCCATTTCGTGGTCTACAACATGAAAGAAAGCCATTATAACACGTACACGAAAAATGTAGAAACATTGGACACGACTATGGGGCACCATTGTGCAGCAGCAAGCATCACAACAAAAAAGGAACCTCAAGGTTGATCTAGGAAAATGTGTGCAAATGTATAGGGCCCCATTCCTATATTTTGCTTAGGGCCCCCAATTCACTAAATCCGCCCCTGTAAATAGTTACACAGAAAAACTGGGCATCATGCACTAAAAGACTGAGGATCACACATTACTGGATTTTTAAGTAATTCCAAACACAACATGTCAAACAACTAATGTAGAAACGTGCCTCATTGCTAGGAGATGCGTGACAAAAGAAAACAATATGTTTTCTAAAATCAGCAAAAAATAATCAAACTTCAACTGGATGGAATCATAGTATGAAGATTAAATATCAGAGTTTATGCAGAGTCTATCATACGCTGCACAATCTTTGGTGAAATCTGCAGACTGACTATGATTTTGGTAACTAACGTTGACTAACTAACCTCCAGACTGCAAATCAGGACAAAAATCATGTTTGTCTAAATTATTTTAAAATAAAACACTAAAAACTAAAATCAATCATTTTAAATGATAAAGGTGAATTTAGGCATCACAAAATTATAATTTTACAGTATGAAAAATACTTATTCATTTTGAGATTAAATATATTTATAAATTGAATATATTAATATCTATAAAATATATATTTTTAAAAGCCGATAACCAATATAGTGCTAATATTTCATACTCACAAACGTGTTACAGCATGTAAATTACACATATTTTACATTTGCATGCTTTTATTATGAAATTCACTGTATTTTGTGTCTCAGGCCAGCTAACCCGCTGTATCAGATGCCCTGTGGCATATCATGCCAATGATTACTGCATACCAGCTGGGAGTGTCACACTCACCGACAGCAACATAGTGTGTCCCAATCACTTCACACCAAGAAAAGGCTGCCGCAACCACGAGCATGTCAACGTCAGCTGGTGCTTCGTCTGCTCAGAAGGTTAATTCAGCTGCCTTGGACACCAATTTCCATTACAATTTGCACCTCTGATTTCATGCACAATAAACCATTTCTTTCACATGGCTTTAGAAATCTTTGATGATTCTTTCACTTCAGCTTAAAGAATGACCTTATCAGAAACATTTCCATTTCCAAAACACTTCCTCTCTGTATCTGTATCACTTCTCTCTACAGGAGGTAGTCTGCTGTGTTGTGAGTCATGCCCTGCAGCGTTTCACAGAGAGTGTCTGAACATCGACATGCCAGAAGGCAGCTGGTACTGCAACGACTGTCGTGCTGGAAAGAAACCACACTACAAGGAAGTAGTGTGGGTAAAAGTTGGCCGCTACAGGTCAGCAACCACAAAACCCACACTTAACTTCTTAACATTTATTGTCATCAATTCCTGGCTTTTGCAATCATTGTACACAACAGTTTCTGCTCTACTGTTTGATAGATGGTGGCCGGCAGAGGTTAGCAATCCCAAAGACGTTCCCGAGAATATTCTACGCATGAGACATGATGTCGGAGAGTTCCCAGTTCTTTTCTTTGGCTCTAATGACTACCTGTGGACTTACCAAGCCCGTGTTTTTCCTTACATGGAGGGCGATGCCAACAGTAAAGAGAAAATGGGAAAGGGAGTTGACTCTACTTATAAGAAAGGTATCTTTTGTAACTAATTTTATTTTGCTTTTGCTATCGGTAAGCGATCAGATTAACATTTTTAGCTCAGTGAACAAAACTGGTGTTAAAATTGATATATAAAATGATGACAATTCATGTTATTGCCCATATTCAATGCTATTCTGTCTAAATACATTTAAAATAAAACGCTAAAGCAGAAAGTAAATAATTTATGCATCACAACATTGTAATGTACGGTATAAAAGATGGATATTCATTGTGAGATTCGCTAAAGGTTTCATTTAAGTGTTAAATTATTAGTCTTTCTAAAAAGTAACTTTAAAATAATTTTAATTTGGGGTCGATGGGCTCCAAAACAATGACTTTCATTTATAGAATAAAGTGTTGAATGCTGGCAAAGATATTTCAATTACATATGCAGTAGTGACCTATACCAATAAATGATTAAATTGTGGCTGATAACCAATATGGTAAAAATATATTGTACATACCTAAAAAAAATCCAATGGACAGAAACTGCATATAAACATGCTAAAACTCGTGGAACTTCTTACCAGCTGCATAGAAATGCCTTGACAAGCATTCAGAACACCCTAGCATCTTGAAGGCAACTCTTGTAAAAAATGAAATGTTGCTCAAATCAGTGCTCAAATGAAAAATGATTGCTAAAATCCAAATGTTCAATGTGGTTCAGCATTGGAAGAAGCTGCAGTAAGGTTCAAAGAACTGCAAGCCGAGAAAGAACTACGGCAGCTGCAGGAGGACCGACGAAATCACAAGAAACCTCCACCATACAAACATATTAAGGTACATGCTCCTACGAGATACACTATGAGATTGATTGCTAGCTTTATATAATGACATTACAAGTCCTAACTTGGTCAATCTCTTAGGTGAACAAACCAATTGGCAAAGTGCTGATCATTTCGGCAGATCTTTCGGAAATTCCTCGCTGCAACTGCAAAGCGACGGATGAGAACCCCTGCGGTATGGATTCAGAGTGCATCAACCGCATGTTGCTGTACGAGTGTCACCCACAGGTGTGTCCCGCAGGTGAGCGCTGCCAGAACCAGTGCTTCACCAAACGACAGTACTGCCAGGTGGAGATCTTCAGAACGCTGTCTCGAGGCTGGGGGCTGCGCTGTGTTCATGACATCAAAAAGGTATTTAAATGACATATTATTTTTTTCCCCCAAAACCTGATCTGATTTCAAATGTTCTTCATGTGCAGGGACTCCATTAACCATCATTAGGGGATAATCGCACCGGAGGAACGTTTTCATAGTTTCCATACCTATTGGTGTAAGGAACGGGGAACACTGTAGAAACTGGGAACAATTTTAGTTATCAGAATGCCTTTTGGGGGACTAAACACAATAGGAACTACCAGAGACTAGGGCTGTCAAAACAAATTAGCATTTCGAATATTCGTCGAATTTAAAGGGGTCATATGATGCAATTTAAATGTTTCCTTTCTCTTTGGAGTGTTACAAGCTCTTGGTGCATAAAGAAGATCTGTAAAGTTGCAAAGACTAAAGTCTTAAATCCAAAGAGATATTCTTTATAAAAGTTAAGAGTCAACCACGCCTACCTAAAACGCCTCGTTCTAACACGCCCCCACATGTCTACGTCACGATGTGGGAAGATTTGCATAATGCTGCCCAAATGTTCACGCAAAGAAAGAAGGCATAACTTTTATTCTCGCTGTAGTATTGTTGCCGCCGCCGCCATGTCGTGAAGGCGCTGTGTGTTTCGTTGTGAAAGCGAAACTACTTTGTTTGGCCTTCCAAAAGAGGACGATATCCACTTCGTCATGCCTGGAGCTGATCCGTGCTGGTCGCTGAGGAAATACATCAACTTCGCGCTGTGGATCGCCAGATCGGCTTTCACCGTAGACGAAGCGGAGTCCAGCCCGGGGTCGTCACATGTGGTTGCCACAAGCCCGCCCACCACGCCGTTCTTAAGCCCACCGGCCACCGCTCACTCAAGCCGGCCTCCACTCACTCAAGCCCGCCGTGTGTGACGCTGTGTGTTTCGTTGTGAAAGCGAAACTACTTTGTTTGGCCTTCCAAAAGAGGACACGACTAGAAATCAGTGGTTAAGTTGTATTTACAACACTGTTCCAGAACAGTTCAACCCAAATATTCCGATGTGTCCAGCGCATTTTATGGAGGACTGTTTCCTGATCCTGGGAGAGTAGACTACAATGCCGGCTGTTCTGACTCACAGACTGTAAGTACGTTTTTTATATTTAAAGAATTTGCCACTGACGATTCAAACGCGAGTTTTGAGCAGTGTAGAGTAGCGTTTGTAGTTTGTCATTTCTCCGATCATAAATGCAGACATGGTTTTATTTTTACGTGGCGCAATGCAATGCAACACGTAAAAAGACAGTATGAGTCATTATAATCCATAATTATGTCCCCACTGGATGCAACAAATGCCTAGTTTATAATCGTTTTTTTAATGTTTTTGTCTCATCGCTCCGGCCGTGACAAGGCATCATATTATGGCAAGGGGTGTAACATTTCCATCACACGCTTGAGGTATTCGGCCAATCAGAGCACACCTCGCTTTTCAGACCGATGAGCTTTGTAAAAATTGACGCGTTTCAGAAAGGCGGGGCATAGAGGAGAAACAATAATGTACAGTATGTGGAAAATAATGTTTTTGTTTACCTTAAATCGCATAAACATTTCATTACACCAAATACACAAAATAATGTTCTTTTTAGCAACATCATATGACCCCTTTAAAATAAAAATCCACATTCAAATGCAAAAATGTTGCATTCGAATTTTAGGTGTGCGTTAAAGAGGCAGCCTTATCAGTGGCGCACAAGGTGCGATGACAATGTAAGTGTCATTGCATTTTAATGTTTTTGTTAACCTATCCAGTTGAAGACACTATATGCGGTGCTGCTGCATTGTTATTTACAAATATTGCGGGGAAAAGAGAACATCAATGCGGAGAAGATCTTGTTTACGTCAAAACTGAAACTAAGCTGTTCACATAGAACGCATATTTCGCGCATTTTCTCGAGGGACATCTATCACCGCTGCACTCGCGTCTCGCACAAAAGAAAGCCATGTAAAATTAATGCAAGTTCAAAAAAACACATCTCGAGACTTCATGGCAGGTTTTTTCCCCATCCCACTGCATCTCATGTTTTTAAATGAAAAATGTACTCTGTGTGATTGGAATTATGATTGGAACTGAAATTATGCATTTTTAATTCGAATTTTGATAATATTTAAGTAAAAAATTTGAATTTAGTTTTTCAGCCATTTTGACAGCCCTACCAGAGATGTAAGTTTACACACAGTTTACACATACTTACTCCATTAACTAACTCCACAAACATGGAAAACAGCAATGGACCCATGCCGAAGTAAAGGCACTTCTCCATTCTCCAGTTGTTGACATTGTTGAATACTGTGCCTAAATGACGCCGCTCTTGGTCGGCTTACGTCACTTCAGAGTTCCTACTGTCGGTGCGAATGCAACCAGGAAAATGGTCCTATTTCTCAGGTGACTGCCATGGTGGCTAGTTCCTATAACTGAGTTCCTATAACTACCCGGTGTGAAAGCCTGTTTCTTGCACGCCAAACAAACAAAAGCCAAAAGCATACTTCCCTTGTCTGTTTTCAGCACAGTCTGCTGAATTTTTTGTGAATTTTTCAGCAGTCTGCTGATTTTTGTGTTCGTGAACAACAGTGCATGTGATAGTGCTTTAAACAGTCAAAACAAAAGTCCATTAGCTAGTGCATACATGCCAAACGTGTCCATCTGCGCTCACTGTTGATAGAGTATACTTTAAAGGGCTTGTGTGCTCAACTGTGTGCAAGACACAGAACACAGAACACAGAAGATGAAGCATACCCAGATCTTATAGGGATTCTCTCATTGTTTACTTATCCTCACACTGCCCCAGATGTATATGACTTTCTGTCTTCAGATGAACTATTTATTTTTAGAAAAATAATCCATCTCTGTGTGTCCATGTAATACAAGTGTACGCACTGATTCATGAGAGATCCACGAAGCTCCATTTGAGCTCATGTATGACAGTTAGCTGGAAGCAATAGTTTATAGTTTAAAAAAGGTTTAAAATATTAGTATCTTTCTTAAACACACCCATCGTTTTGCTTGTATAGATTCCTGCCATGTTCACTTGTGAATGTGAGTTTTTTGAAGTGACCATTTTTTTGTTCATCTGAAGAAAGAAAGTCATATACAACTGGGATGGCATGAGGGTGAGTAAATGATAAGGACATTTTTTATTTTTGGGTTGAATATCCCTTTAATGCTCACAGTTGATGCTTGGCATGTTACTAAGCTAAATCTGACAATATTATAACAATATCATAAATGTTGCTTCTCTTGCACTAATCACACACACACACACACACACACACACACAAAAACCAGTTCAGTTCTAGAGTAAACAAACTTTAAAAAAAAATGACACTTTTTATATTGAGCATTAGAGTTTTTCCATACATAGGCAATTTCTACAATAAGTCCATCTCCTCCCTTTTAAAATATATCTACAGAGAGGATATAATTAGCTTTAGTTTGTCCAGTCTGCTTTCTAACAAATTCTTTGTTTTTAATGCTCAACCCCAGGGAGGATTTGTTAACGAATATGTTGGAGAGGTGATTGACGAGGAAGAATGTCGTGCCCGGATTAAACATGCTCAGGAGAACAATATCGGCAATTTCTACATGCTTACATTGGACAAGGTGAGATTTTAAAACTACAACACTTGTTTCGTTTTTCTGTGATTTCTGTTGGGAAACGTAATATGTTGTTTTGTGGTTTCTTGAAGGATCGAATTATTGATGCCGGGCCCAAGGGAAATGAAGCCCGTTTTATGAACCACAGCTGTCAGCCAAATTGTGAGACTCAAAAATGGACAGTCAACGGAGACACACGTGTTGGGCTTTTTGCGCTTACAGATATCCCTGCTGGTAAGTCAAATTTCATTTTTATGTAGAAAACATTGTAGTGCAGCCTTGCATTTTTAAACATGTTTTCTTCCAAGGCACTGAGTTAACATTCAACTATAACCTTGAGTGTCTGGGCAATGGGAAGACGGTGTGCAAGTGTGGTGCATCTAATTGCAGTGGATTCCTGGGAGTGAGGCCAAAAGTAAGGAGATGATCCCAAGGTGTTAGCTTTTATATTGTATAATATCATGTCATTGCTAATTGGTTTGACCAATATTTTTTTCTTGGGATTATAAATATTTCAGAATTATTATTTCTATTATTATTATCATTATTTAAAAACAAATACTGGGAAAACCAATTATCAATCTATACTAAAAAATAATTAGAAAACATTACATTCATAATAATTATTATTAGTGCTGTCAAACGATTAATTGCGATTAATCGCATCCAAAATAAAAGTTTTTGTTTACATAATATATGTGTGTGTCCTGTGTATATTTATTATGTGTATATATATATATATATATACAAACACATGCATGTATATAAGAAAAATATGTTATGTTTATATATTAAATATATTTATATATAATTATATAAATGTATATACACATGTAAATATTTTCAAAATATATACTATATGTGTGTATTTATGTATACTTTTACTTTATTTTACCTTTAGTCATTTAGCAGACGCTTTTATCCAAAGCGACTTACAAATAAGAAAAAGTAATTAAAACTAAAAGCTAAAACTCTATAAATATTATATATATATATATATATATATATATATATATATATA